AGTATTGTCTGACTTATTCTCGACATTGATGCCACAACGTATTTCAGCCAGCGTGCATGAAATAGTATAACGTCACAATAAAATCCAATTTCGCCTGAGGGTGCCCAAATAATAAAAATCATTTGTTATGAAGCTGTTTGAATGTAATTCTTATGAAGCATTGTCGTTTTTTAAAGGTCAATGATACAAATGGACGATTTAACCGAAAATCGACTTTTAGACTTTAATGAAGGACAATTTGTCCCGTGAAATGGTTTGAATATAACAGTAATTATTATCAGTGATTCAGTCCCATTTTATATCTAATATTTCACAACTACTGTAATAATAATCGAGAATAACGACTCTTTTAATATAATTGAGATAAGTTTTGCATGAAAAAAAAAAAACCAAATGTAATAAACATGGTTTGTTGATTGCTATAACAATACTTATAGTCTGCATCAGTACAACCATGAATTTTTATTTTTTTTAAACGTGAAAAGTTTTTCGCATTTTGCATTCGATATAATCAATTTTTTAAAGCTATAATCTAATCTACAGAAGTAGTAGGGAATTCGATAGAAGAGATTTAATATACACGGAGCATAAAAAATAGTTTAATTGAATCTTTCGGCAAAGCCACATTTAATGTCACAAAATTGAACGCCGAAATGGCGGACGGAGTTTGTTTAGTTTTTAAAATTAATAATAATAGTATATTTGGGAATTATGATAGGAAGATGTGAAGCTTATGAAAGAATCGTTTATACCAATAAAATTTATAAATTATGTACAATGATTATCATGAGTATGTACCAACTTTTCTTTTGAAATTTAGCTTTTTTTAAAATAAAAACATCAAAACACGGAAAATGTTTGCTCGATATTCATACACAATTAAAGTATATGTTACAGGGACCGGTTCGTGCATATTTCCATGCTTGCCTAGATACGCTAGGTTGCATAGATATGCCAAGCATAGCGGCAAATGCAACCGACGCATCGCCGTTCACTCTGTATGAACATACATGTTCGTGTATGCAGGCGGCCGTGCTTTGAGAGACGTACGCATAAGATATAGCTCGAATCGAATGACGACGGGTGCGTTGCGGCTTGCCTCTCCGCTATGCTTAGCATAGCTATCAGGCATAGAAATATGCGCGAACCGGTCCCTGATATGTTATTAAAATGTCCAATTTAAATCTGTAATTGATCCTCATCCTCGTTTACGAATTAGCTGCATATAGACATTTCAATTATTTCAATTATTTATATTTTTGGATAAGAAAGTATATTATAGAAAATTGTACAAGCTATGTCCGTAGATATGTTATTGCTATGTCCGAATATCCAAACAGTTCTCCTCCGACGGAATTGTCTGTCCATCCAAAGAGTTCATTTCATTGTTTTTTTTTTTCGAATTAGAAAACTTGACTTGAAATTTCATTCCTGGGATGTCACACACCTAAATCTGTTCAAAATGTATTAATTGTAATGATAGAAAAATTTAAAAAAATGCCTGTAAAGGTTATGTTGGACTGGACGATTTTGCATGCAAAATACGAATGAACGCTGTCGATGTCTTATACCATATGATTAGCTATAGTTGTCTACTTTAATTTGATTTCATTGAAATGAAACCCGACAACATACTTCAGATTACAGTTCGTCATTTTCGTGACTGGCAAATATTTGAGCGAAACACTCCATCTTGAATTGTAGTTACATTATTATTACTATTACTATCCATCTTTTGTGTTACGGATAGCAAAAAAGTAATGCAATGAGATTCTACTGAAAATGACTATGGGACTATGGTTTTTCGGTGGTAAGTAAGGTGTGTTTGCAATATGGTATCAGGTGTCGAAAAACCATTTGCAAGCAAAGTAATTAGAAATGCTTATTTTGTGCCGTGTGTAAGAGTTCGTCATTAATGAATATGATGTGGTCTGTGTTTGGATCTCGTCAAAATTATCATTCAGTCATTTGGACAGTAAAAACCTATAACAAAACAAGCACATATGATGGATACATGTGTAATATGTTTAATGTGTTTACCTGATGCTTATTCATAAGCAGTACGAATTGAATAAAATGGTTATCTGGTGGAGGCCAGTTGAAAGACGCTCACAGGTAGAAAATCAGACAAATCATAACAGAACGTGATAAATAGATACGTTGAATTACATATAAACATAAAAGTCCGAAATACCGAAATAGACACTAGTGTTTAATTTGAATCATGCGTAAAATTACATTTTTCTTCGATCTTTTTATCATTCGTGTCTATGGTGCAGATAGTTATGGTGGTACTGGGCTTTTTCTATTATGGTATACCTAGGGGGTGAACAGAATATCTAAGATTCATTCAGAAATTCTAAAAAAAAAAATCGACTCAAATGTGATGAATGTTGTGCGGATCTGAAATATTATTTGAAATTATCCTCAAGTTTTTTTCCTTGAAATTTTTCTTAGAATTCAACTCCACCTGAAATCCCATGATGGATAAATGTGTGTTTTTAATATCAAATGTTCTATGAATTAATTATGAGTTTGGCCGAAAGCGGTGCGTATTAGTTAAACACACACTAGGTGATAGCTGTATAATGCGATGTAAAGAAGCGTAAAATTTCATTTTGAATCATGGGATGATGAGTATATAAAAACATAAACATACCAGATACCAAAAAGATAAAAACTAAAACCAGAAGCACAATCGAAATGAACAAAAAGTGATGTGCTTCAATATTATATGAAGCATACAAATATTCAATATGAAGCATACAATCAAGAAGGTGCTGTGTCGATGATATTTCATGGCGAAAGCCATATTAATCGAAAAATTAAGACATTAAGAGACGTGGAAAGAGAGAGAGAAAGAGAGAGAGAGAGAGAGAGCGATAGCGAGGCAGATAGATCAAAAAAGAATACCACTTATAATTGTTTGAGTATCATCTAATATTATTTTTTCGTAAACAAGTTAGAAAAGATTAAACATAAAATCTTTTATGTTGTCAATGCGTATCGATCGCGATTTTGTCAGTGAAAACCGAACATTTATGGATCCATTGTCATCAAACTGAACAGATAATTACAATGAGTTTTTTAACCGTACAAATCATGAGTACATGCTCATTTTTCATTGGATTGACCTAGTTGTTATGCATGAACAGATCTTAGTACAGTAAATGGAGCAACAAATATGACTCCTTCCATGTAAAAAAGAAACTTGATGAAGTTGTGTAGGTCAATAAGAATAATAATGATCTCGTAGACATGCTTCTCTCGGTTTAATTTCATTATTCCATGCACATACGCACTCATTCTCATCAGTGCATTGGTTATCAAAACACGTTTGCATTGATAAATACGATGTATTATTTAAAAGACACATCGACAGATCAAAATGAATGCGATTTGAATGGGAGAGGTTTCGCATCGTTCAGAAAAAGCTTCAGCGATATGATAAAAAGCTTCGATTGTATGCAATGGATGGTACGATCTGATTCGAAATGATTTTCGCATAATCAAAATCAAATTGTTAGTAAAATGATATGGCCAATAAGGTGTAATTAGCACACGGTGCGTGCTGATTCCATGAAATTTCACATGTAAATATCAACTTCCTGAATAATTTGATTCTCCATATTTCAAGATACATATTTCAAGATATTCATCGACTTCCATGCTATGCTTTAGTAAATTATTTCGTCATTTTATGATTGATTCTCTTTGTGTGTGTGTGAAATGAAATGATGGATCGATTTTTTATTGTACTAATGTATGAATTCAATTAAATTTTAAAAAACAGTCATGTGTGCGATTCATTCATATTTCCACAAAATCCGATTTATTCCTCTAATTCGCAATAAATATTTCGCAAAATTTTGCTTAAGATTATCGGTAACGTTAGTATTTTCTATAAATGTATCGAACACAGTGAATCGTAACAATGCTAACATTCGCGATGGAATGGTTTTTCAACGCTCAACAAATCTTTCGATCGAATGGTAGAAATGGAAGCCAAAGCAGAATCAAAGTTGTTAATATGTATTGAGATGAGAGGAAATGTTTTATTCATAAGAAATGCTGTACTTACCTTTATTATATATACTGTCGTAACAACAGTGTCGTTTGATTTTCCAACTCTCTCCGGACTTTTACATGTGCTCAATTTTTACGTTTGTAAAAGACATATTTCCAGCCAGGAAAAACAATACAACAGCATCTTGAACCAAATATATTTGATTTGTATTCAATTTCTAAAGGTATACTTCAAATTAATCTATGCCCTGTAATAAATATATTGTTATCCAATCAAATCTGAACAGCACGCAATTCGTTCTTTGCAAATATTTGATGAAAAATACCGTCACAAAAATTTCGAAATGATTCAAAATGCTATATAAATTGATAGCAGTTCCAAAGAGCAGAAAATATGTAAAATGATCAAAGAATACTCTAGTTGAAAATTGAATGAAATAAATGAAAATTCTCGTTGAAAGACTAAAACAATATGACGACACAATGGAGTTTTCAACGTATTTGTATTCAAAGCGAATTTATTCGGTGGATCAGTCTAAATAAAAATTCATTTGAACGTTAATGAACAATACATATCGCAGCATACATTTTCCATTTTTTGTTCCCAAAGAATCACTCCATTGAAATTCAATCTAGAAATTTTGAAAAAAGTTTCTTAATTTTTCCTTTCGTCTTGAAAGTAAAAAAATAATTCAAGTTTATTTTTTGCAAGATCGGTTCGTTATTCGTATTAATAAAGCAATTTCTATACATAGATTCGTTATATGAAACAATTTTTATAAATTTTTTGTTAAATAAAATGTTATTTGCATTTCTGAAATTATTTAAAAAAAAAAATCGTTGATATCTGCATTGTCTGTTCCAAGTATTGGTATTTGAATGTGTCTTTGTTCGCCTCACTTGTTTGTACAAACGTCCGCAGCGAATTGGTTGTGTTGGCATCCCTGTACGTCAAGCATGTAGTGTCATTTTGACTGAGACCAAAACAAAACAAAACGTACAATTCGAAAAGAAAAATCCATTGATATTATTTGAATTTTTTGAATTGAATTTAAAAAAATCGTTGCCATAATTTATATGTGATAGTTAGAAAATATGTCAATGCCAAAATTGACCGATTATGAATTATTGGAAATGATTGGCAGTGGCAGCTATTCAGTGGTCCATCGTGCAAAGCATAAAGTAAGTTTTCATACTCTCATTTCACTTGATGAATGAACATTTCGTTTTTGATTGCAAGTAATGATTTCAATGATTAAAGGATACAAAATTATCGTTTGCTATAAAATGTGTGGCCAAAGCAAATCTTTCGAAAAGTTCCACCGACAACTTGCTCAGGGAAATAAAATTGCTGAAAACCCTCAAACACCAACATATTGTCGAAATGATTGATTTCAGATGGGATGAAAAGTATGTGTCTTTTTTCGTAATTTTTCAAAGACATAATCGAATACATTTTGTCCACAATTATTTTCAGAAATATTTATATAATCATGGAATTGTGCAACGCAGGAAATTTATCAACTTACATTAAAAGACATTTTACCTTACCTGAAACCACGTGCAAATTTTTCATGAAACAATTAGCATCAGCCATGCAATATATGCGATCCAATAACATTAGCCACTTTGATTTGAAGCCACAAAATTTGCTATTGATCAAATCACCAAATTTAATGTTGAAAGTGGCTGATTTTGGGTAAATTTATTTTCATTGCGCCATTTTAAAATATCATTTGCAAAATTCGTTCAATATTAATCCGTAACCGAAAAGGGTGTGAAAAGGTATTCGATTTTTTAAGAGTCGCTAATTGATTTATTATTCGCAGATTTGCGCAATATTTAACACCGAACGAAGAAAACACTGTGATAAAAGGTTCACCATTGTAAGTATAATTGAATTGATGGTTCGTTTGAGCATTTCTTTAAGAATATTTATTTTCCTAGATACATGGCACCTGAAATACTTCTAAAACATTGTTATAATCCCTCGGCTGATTTATGGAGTATCGGTGTCATTTTGTACGAGTGTATTTTCGGTCGAGCGCCATATAGTTCAAAGACACTAGATGAATTACTGCAAAAAATTAAGGCCAAACAAAAAATTACAATTTCATCAACAGCAGCAATTTCGTTAGATTGTCGTGATATTATGACACGTTTATTAATTCATGATCCAGATAAACGAATCAGTTTTCAACAGTTTTTTGAACATCCATTCCTCGATTTAAAGCATGATGCATCTGATGAGGTGAGTTTTTTTTTTTTTACTTTTACATTTCAAAAAAAAAAAAAAACTTCGTTGAATCTATTTGATGTCTATGCACTAGAATCTTGCAAAGGCCATTCAAATTGTGACAATAGCAGTTGAAAAGGATGAAAAAAAGAATTACCGAGAGGCATATTATGCATACTGCGAAGGATTACAGTATTTTGTGCCACTGATAGCTGCCGAATCGGATGAAAATAAACGAAAATTATTACAAGAACGTGCAACCACTTATATGGAACGAGCTGAAGAGATTCAACGGTCTTTCCTAG